CTATACTAACTTTTTTAAACGGACGAGAATTAGATCTTATTTTTGACTATGGAGTCCTACAGCTCTAAAGAAACCTTCCATATGGTTTTTTTTACTCTATTATAGTTGGTTTTCGTTTTGTTTAAAAAGTACTCTAAACTGTATAAATAATGTAAAATTAAATTGAATTTATTAGCCAATCAGACAAACTTCTATCTATGAAATGAGAATAAATGTTAGTCTCGGTCCTAGTGTCATACTGACTGTTATATTGAATATATATGTTGTGTCTTTAGACTAACACTTGCGTAAAGTGTAAATTGTATAATGAACTCTAATCCTAACTCAGGCCAAAATGACATCTGATATAAGTACAACTATATAGATATGATTATATCATAATGACACAATATAGATCTTAAAGATTATGTAATGACGACATATTATACGTAATTTTTTTTTAAAAATGATTTCGATACTCATAACAGTATCTGTTCGAAAATAGTTTAGCATGGGCTCAATGACGAAATCAACTTCAAAAAAATATATATAAAGATGAATTGATTTTGATCAAAAAAAAAAAACAACCAAATCTTTTTACTTGCAAAAATGTCTGAACAACCAAGTAAATTCAATGCTAATGTTAATTACTATACTGGTGCTGCCCAGGAAACAGGTAATCATAAATTTTTTTGACTTGAAAATGTTTTGTCAAAAAAATAAATAAATAAATATTTAAATTAAATCAAAAAATTATATGTATAGTTGGAAATTTAATCGGTGATGAATCCTTGAAAGCTTCAGGTCAAGCTGCTCAGATTCGAGGTAACGCAGAATATGAGGCAGCCACTGAGGAAGCACCATCGAAACTCAGTGCCAATTACAACGCGACCGCTGGTTCGGTTAAGGAAACAATCGGATCCACTATTGGCAATACTGATTTAGAGAGATCAGGTACTGAACAACGTAGAAAGGGAAATGAGGAATTAGAAGCAGCCAAAATGACAGACTACGTTAGTGGTGCTGGCAACAAAGTTAAAGGAGCAGTACAGGAACAAGTAGGGCATTATTTTATATAATTATATATATATTTTTTGGTTATTTGTTTGTGAGCTCCAAAATTAAATAAATGAATTGATAGGTTGGCTCAACTATTGGTAATAAGCGAATGGAATCCGAAGGTGCAGCCACTAAAGTTAAAGGCGTAAGTTTTCTAGTGAGATCACGTTCATAAGTTTGATAATCTTTTTAATACTTTGTACATTATTTTCATAATAGGAAGCAGAAATGGCGAAAAATGAATAATTTTTTTTTCGAATTTGGTTTATGGCCCCTAATAATATTTATTTATGACACTCATTATTTGAATAGCATACAATCCTAGTTATATCGATATATATACTTCAAATATTAGCTTTAGGTTTTGATTATATCGATATGCTGTATATACTTCAAATATTAGCATTAAGCTTTTAAATTAAATAATAAAATATTTTATGAATTAAAAATTATATATTAAATAATATACACGCACGTGTATAAAGTATACGTAATATGAAATTTACCAAAGTCGACCTTACCTGTTTAAACTGTTTAAAACGGGTGGTAATAATAAAATCTGAAGATCCAAATCATATATAGTATCAATAGAAGAAAATTAACCAACCCGATAATTACCCTAGTTAACTTGGTTTAACACTATGGTAAAAGGGGGAGGGCACGAACCAAGTGTACGTACTTTTAATCGATCTTTTTAGATTGAGGACCTTTTTATCGGACGTGCCTAATTTATACCCAGGTTATAAATCAGGGTTTTCAAGCAATGGTATTGAAATATATCAGAGTCTTAATTTGGGGGAGGGTGCGAGGGTGTTCAGGGTTTATAGTAAAAAGATAAATCGCAAACAATAAAGAATGGTTTAAAATTTTTTCAAATATGGACTGAAATTATTGATCAAATTAATATTTGAATTCATATTGGATCAGATTAGAATATAACCATTATACGATATGGTCATCTGCTACGTAAGAAAGTTACTGTTTAGCACTCCTAGCAGGTGATCATCGGGCAATAATGCACAGTGGCGTTATTTTGAATTACAACCAGAATTAAGCTTAATTTCGGCTAAAATTTTAAATAACACCCCTTGCCTATCTTATGAACTAAGTTCTTTCACACTGCTTCGAAAATTAAAAATTCAAATACTTTAATAATATTATTTTTTTAATTTATACGTACGTAATAATAAAAATTAAAAATACCCATATGATATGATAGGGTTGGCAATGATGCTCAATATTGTCAATTGATACTATTTTAGCTCCATTGGCTCTATTACCAACCCTCATAGGATAGCGATAGTAAAAATACTTTTTCTGATCGTCGGTGATAGGGTAGTTCCTGATAGGGTTCTAAAAAAGGACCTTTAAAATACTACACTATATGTATACTACCGCTATAAGGTAGGATTAGGGATCGCTTTTAGAACCCTATCAGGAGCAGTACTCAAATAAAAAATTTGACATAAGAAAAAAAGATAATATATGCAGTCTACCTCGTTATAACGGGATACCTCGTTATAATGGAGCAATTCTCAGGAACAATTTATATTATGTAACGCTGTAACAGATATTCAGCCCGACCACTACGTTATAATTAGAGTAGATTAGAGTTAAAGGTATATATTTATCGTTATATGTAAAATTAGATGGCAAATATTTTTTACTTTGATACTTATAAAGTACAAATATATATATAGAATACATAAAATACGAACGTATAAAATTTATTAAATATTCAGGCCGTTATTTAATAACCTAGTTACACTAATGCGCTAAACGCACAAACGTCAATTACTGTCCAAACATGTATAACTTCAAACATTTTTAATGTATGTATATCTTTTTTAAAGTTAAAAAATTAATAAAACCAAATTTCTACGTACGTACCGGTACATAGTATCGGTATGAGTTTTATTACGTAACAAATTCTTGTCAAAAAATAACTATATACAGATATATTAATAAAAATAACAATTATTTTTTTGATATTTAATTCATTAAAGTTAACATTAATATATGTACAGTATACGTATTACTGTATATATATTTTCTGTACCAGATCTTTGTTCCAATCTCATAATACGTACAGTATATTAGATACGTATTAGAGTAAATCATAAAATTTTGGATCCATGAAGCAAAATGTTTATTTTATTTAATTGAAAATGATAGAAATTTTGACAATCATATTTACTCACGATGGATGGATAGATAAGCATTTAATCAATGCTTTCTATTTACTGCACCATCATAACGACAAAGGTAGTATAATTTTAATGTGTATACATATTTAATGTATATACATAACGATAATGAAGGGCTGTTTAATAAATTTTGCCTATTGTTTACCAAAAATTTCGAAGACCCGCAATCCAATTAAAGAGATGAAATAATCACATAATTATCATTATTGGTGAAAATTGGAGAAATTAATTTTTACCTGCATCTTTATCCCCAACTATGCAGTCCCAAATCTATAAAAAATGACAACCTATTCGTCTTGTACGTGTATGTGCTTTGCCATTTCTCAATTATCTATGGTGTAAATACTCGCTAAGCCTTTATCTGAGTAATAACGCTATACCATAAATGCCATGAGAATGCATTAACCCGATACAAGGAAACTTGTTCTTGGGGTAAGATGGCAATTCTTTAAACCAGTTTAGTGGCTAACATTTACTCACGCATCACGTGATAGCATACTTATTTTGGTTATGAATGTTAAGCATGTTTTTTCCTAAAGACATTTGATTAAATGTATTAATGAATTAAAGTACAAGAGATACTGTAATATGTACCCAAGTCATTACAATCATCAATTATCTATTATATAAGAAGGGACCATACAGTATACGTATAAATACTATACTATAATACAAATATATATGTAATCAGCAAACATATCCAGTAAATCTAAGCCACTCTTAAAAATTATTCTTAAGACTTGTTTATTAACGCGAGATAATCATCTAGCTCGATCATTAATTAGAGAAATGGCGTAATAATCCACCATTGCGAATTTCTTTCGTAAAGAGATATTTTAATCCGTATAATGCGAGAATTATTCAGTTGATTATTGATCAACCTAGCTTTATGTATAGTTGAAAGCGAATTTACGCACGTAAAAAAGTGTAGAATTAATAAAAAAGGAATTGAATTTAATCTATTTAAAAGATCATTCAATATGTAATATTAAAATTTTAGATAAACAAACCTCACTTACTGTTACTAATGTTACTTAACGTTACTTAATGTTACTAACGTTACTTAACGTTACTTAATGTTTTGATGATACTAACTAGCAATTATAACTTTTTGCCTTAAGGCGTGCCATAACTGGGTATATCGTCTTTTTTTAGGATAAAATTTTATTTTCATCTTAGGATGATCTTAGGATGACTACGTATTATCAACTTCTTAAGATGTAATAATTTCATTTCGCTCTTGAAGTGGTTTTGATAACATATAAAAAGTTGATTGATGTTATGATTTAATTCAGATAATAGGAAACTAACATTATTTAGAACCGAATCGTCTTTATTCGTATTCATTGTAGAAAATATATAAATTTTTTTGATTACATTGATTGATATATTACATATATTTCATACGTATCTAATTAATTACGTATATATATATATATATATATATTGATTGTAATTAAATACAAACAAATACTGGTCATATAGCCATAACGATAGATATCAAAAATTTTTTAATTTATCGATACAGTATTTTGAATTCATACGACACTTGGGATTCATACGGCAATTGGGATTCATACGGCAATTGGGATTAATGCGGCTTTTTGCTGCAACCGTAACCGTAACTTGCAGTGTGTCGTACGGTTCATTGGAACAGTTCCGCCTGCACCTTTAGATTATACATTTTGCGAGATAATTCTATAATCCTATCTTTGATATGGTCGTTTATCCATAAGTCTCATAAGTCGAGGGTGAGGATCATTATCGTATGATGGTAAGGAATTTAAATCGACAAAATAAAAAAAAGAAGTAATACGTTGTGGGCTTCCATGTTTGTTATGTTCACGTTTAGTTGATTTTTGAGAGCCTAAGCCGAGATAATAAGAGAAAGGGACCTTTGCATCCAGAGGTAGCTTTGGAGGCAAAACCACTTCTAAAGGGTAAATAGAGAAAAGAGGATCGTATTCGGGTTCCTCACAGATTGATTTTTTTATTGGGATGTGAAGTCCTAAGTAATTATTATAAGGAGTTATGCTAACACTTTCATTGACGTTTTCATTGACGTTTTCACTAACGTTAACGTCAAGATCAAAGTCAAGGTCAAAAAAGACTCCTGAATCACGAGAATTGGTTGTATGTTTTTTAGTAGACATTTTAGAGGCTATGAATTCTATCAAGTTTATTTTTTATTTTTTATTTTATTTTTTTATATTTTTATATTTTTATTTGTTTTGAGGGATGTTATTTTTATTGAATTTGGTCATTTTATAGCCACCGTGGCAGTTCTAATCTCCGGAAGTTCATCGACTTTTCTGTATGTGGCGGTTGAAAGAAAAAGTTTAAAAAAATTTTTTTAAATACATTTCTGTTTGTTAGTTGTCCTTATAAGTTAGTTTCAATTATATAGTTATTTTAATTTATACATTTCATTCGTTATCATCCACATTTTTGACCCGAATTTACACGTATCACCATAAACGAACACAAAAGATAAAAATATCGATATACATTTTTATCCTTTTTCGTTTTTATGTATGTAACTATATATTTTTTATATATACGTATAAGATAATGGTGCAATTTATACGTATACGTAATATATAATACGTAATACGTAATTTAGTTGTTTGTTTACCGTTACCTATTTTTTAGGTAAGAATCTTCTAGACGTATATATATATATTTATCCCTAAGGAGACTATGTTAATTAAAATCCGGGAATTTCGTCTTAGAAGTATGTGTACGTACAATTACGTTAATCTTATTTGTATGTATATGCTTGAGAAATTTTATATGAAATTATTTAAGAAATTGTCTAAGAAAATTGATGCCAGATCTATAATTATCGGAAAAAAGAATTAAATGAATACTTTAAACAAAGACTTTGTATATTATTTAAACCAAAAGAGAGATATATCTACAAAGTTTTCATTTATTAAAGTAATCATATTTCGTTAGCATTAATATTAGAGTCTAACAAAGATAGGGGTACTGAAACATTTTCGGATATCCTTCTGAGAATGTCCTTTAATTTCTTTCTATGCATTTATGAGTTACCTGTCTCCAAAATAGTAAAGTAACATTCCGGACTTTTTAGGATGCCAACGTAAACGCGATGTAGTACGGCATAAAGAAATTAAAAAAAAATTAGCAGAGTGTTATATTGCATGCATATGCTACATGTAAATAGATAAAATTGATAAGTAATTATAATTCTTGAAAGAAAAAGCTTTGACCATATTCATAACTTGCTCCTTTTCTTCTATCTATCTATCTATAATACATAATACATATCAAAAATTCTATACTTACGTATCAATTTCTCGTGACTCGCTTATGTGCTCGCTTATGTGGCTAAACGACATCATCTGATTGAACGCCGAAGAACCTTATTATAAAAATATGATTTATTGTGACACGTAATAAAAACTATTTGCAATTTTTTCTTTTTCTAATTACCATTATCGTTACCAATAAATCCGGCTTTAATAGTCGTTAGGGATTCTTTCCTTGAATTGATTACGCACTTAAGGCTTACAAAATTAATTACACAAATTAAATTTGTCGATATTTTCTATAAAAGGCGTTGCTTTTTTTAACGAAATATGCTGTAAAAATATTCCATTACAAAATATTACAAAATATTAAAAATATTACAAAATATTAATATATCTTTAATATATCCTTAATATATATTTAATATATCTTTAATACGTATACGTATCTTTGCTTGGTACGTACTAGTACATACATAGTAACAAAGTACATAAAATATTACTATGTTTGCTTGGTACGTATTAATAAAATGTACATACCAAAATGACGCAAAAAAATTGACGTCTCGTGACTGATCTAAAAGCCTAATCTCCATGTTATCCTAATATATATATTTTTTTATTTGCATTAGTAAGATATATCTAAATTTTTGTTTAAAAACTAGATAGTAAATTATACTTTTACTTAATGATTAAAAATAGTAAATTACAAGTCTTTTACGTACATATAATGTCTTATTTTTATTTATATATTTTGAGATTTTTACTTTAATTTTCTTGTTACACATTGATCTTACAATCGGATTTGGTAGGAATACAGGTCCGCCAAATCTTTGCGTCATGATATGTTTTGTCATGATATGTTTTGTCAGGATACTATTAACTAGATTCCGTGATCTTGATCTTGATCTTGATATAACGATAATGATCGGGGTATGTGTTGTATGAATATGCGGATTTGGTTAAGGCTACATTTCATTATTAATAATTGGTTATCAAAATATATCGATATATGAAAATAATCATGCGCATGTGTAAATAATGATCTTTTTATTTGGAATCCTGCTTAAAATATGTATAAAAAACGGTTATGCTGTATAATTGGCCAATTTCTCCGGTGCAAAGCAGTGAACTTTTGGTTTTTCAAAAGGCATGCACCTGTAATGTAGTTATTCATTTGCATACAAATCCTAAATGAAAATAATGTTGTTTCTCCCTAACTATCATTTAGGTCATTCCATAGAATTTTGTTATGTTTTAATGTTTAAAATTAGTGACCGAAAGAAATTTATTTAGTTTTTATTTATTACAAAGCTATTTTAATGTAAAATATCTAATCATTTTTTCGATAAACTTTAATTACTAAACAACAATTTATATCTTATTAACTTCGTTAATAATTTATTTAATTCAACAATTGATCAAAGTTATTAATTATTAATACTGTATATAATTTTATTTAGTATATATTTGGAATTTTCTTATAAAATTAATATATATTACTACGTATAAAAAATTTTTTGAATCAGGTCATGCGAAATTAATTAATCGGCCGGGTCAAAATTCAAAAACTTGTAAAAAAAGATTTTTTTTATATGTTTTAATAACCAATCGGATCTGTTTGAAAATTTTATGTTATAAAAAATCAAATACATTGATTTTTTTTTTTAATATATATTAAAGATAAGGTCGGGATTTTTTTTTAATATTAGGGTAAGGTTACGCTTCTGGATTTTATTAAGTGAACCTTGTTGTGTGTATATTACATTATATTCCACGGTCCTTAATGTTCACCCGTGAACATTTCTGGTGATATTTTTATGATGATGTAATACCGTGGAGATGTAATAATAATATCCTGATCCGTTGGGAATTAGCGGAAACTTCGTTTCCGCTTATTCACATACGGTCAGGGTATTATTAATTAATCCTCCCGTGATCTTGATATAGTGATCGGGGGATTAATCAAAAATATTACACGGTATGACATCATCAGTAAAAATTTTAATCAGGGCATAATGACCGTTGAATATATCAGATATTACACGTGCGCCGTGAACATCATGTGTTACCACGGCTTCGTCGTGCTAATCACAACAGCCCGTGTAATATCTATTACATATATTATACAAATACAAAAACTTAACCTAATTTATCTACAATCTACCTCTATAAGAAATTTTATTTTTCTTCTATATATATTACTGATTATGTATTTCTACATATTCTTCTTATATCTTACAACCAGTTACTGTATATTACAACTGATAAAAATTGTTTTTTCTTAAGCAGTCATGCTAGTACTTATTAAGATTTTAAAATTACATTTGCAATTATATAAATATCTCTAACATTTAAGTCTAGCATCATCTGGCCACCTTAATGGTACTTAAGTGTAACCTATTATATTACTTTAAGCAAAAATAAACTGCTTGTTTGATTACTTAAAGTCTATATTAAAAAAGTTTTCTTCTTTCTACAATAAGTCTTAAAATTGTCTTTTATATTTCTTTTCTAATTTGGGGGTTTTTTTTTCTTTTACTTGATTCTTTTTTTTTTTCTTTACCTCTTTTTAATTTATCTATTATTTTTATTTTTTTCTTTTATTTACTAGTTTTCTTTTACTAAATTCTCTATACTTGTTTATAAAATATATTTTAAATCATTTTTGTTATTATATTTGTAAACTGTTGTCTTAATTTTATGACAACTTATAAATTAATTTTTATAAAAAATTATTTCTTCTAAATTTTTATCTGTTTGTTATTGCTTTGTTGTACAAAATATTTAATAATTAGTATTTTAAATTAAATTTATTATTAATATTAATTTTTTAGTTTAGATAATTTTATTACTAGTATATCTAATTTATATTTTAAATTAATTTTTATTGTTAAGTTAATTTGTTATTTTTAAATTTTAACATTAATTTTTTTAAAAATTATATTATTAATCTATTTTTTTAATATTTTTTTTATAATATTTATTAAAATCTTATTTTGTTATTTAAGCTTTATAATTTATATTTATTATTTAGTACTTGTAATTAAAATAATATTTTTAATTATTATTATTTATTTAAATTAAGTTTAAATTTTAACTTAAATAATTTAATAAATATAAAAAAATATTAAATATTAAATTAAATAATACTTTTTTTTTTTTAAATATTAACGGTGAGGCCATGCCTTTAACTTTATTGAAATTCAATTGAAGTTTTTACAAAGA